TCCCTCCTGGTGGGTGATTTCTCACTTTCCATCTCTCTGTCTCTCTCTGTCTGTCTGGCGAATGCATGCGCCCTATAGCAAAAACCTCTCCAAAAAAAGGGGAAAAAAAGGAAAGGAAATCTCAGAATTGTAAAAAATGCGTATTAAATGACATTCCTGGACCAGCAGTGGCCTGGTGGTTAAGGCGACTAGCTCTCACATGGCCAATAGCACAGTTCGAGTCCCAAACCCAGCAGCCTGGAAAAACACACTGGGCCTGTGTGCATGCCCAGGATCCCAAAAGCTCACACACCCTCTGGCAAAATTTTGAAAAAAGAAAAAAATGCATTTCTCAGGACCAGCAGTTAGTGTAATGGCTATGTCACTGGACTCCCACGTAGTCAACCACAATTCGAGTCCCGGACCTGGTGGCTTAAAACTCACACCAGGCGCATGTGCGTGCGTGCCCAAGATCCCGAGAGGAGAATGGAGGAGAAGGGATCACAGCGTGGCCATCCCCCCTGGGGGGTGATTTCTCGCTTTCTATCTCTATGTCTCTCTCTGTCTTCCTGGCAAGCGCTCGTGCCCTATAGCAAAAACCTCTCCAAAAAAAAAAAAATGTATTTCTGAGCCACCAACAGGGAGAGAGCCTTTCCAGCAGCACAGCCCAGCAGTGTGGCCAGCCCTCCTCACAGAGGCCCAGGTGGAGGGCCAGCAGCCCCGTCTGGGATGCTGAGGTGGCTGGGAACAGGAGACGCTCTCGGGCCTGAAGCACCCGCTGTGCTGCTGGTTCGTCACGGACTGAGGTGCATGTGGGCCGTCGTCCTCAGTCCCCTACAGCCAGTTGGCTAGCTGTGTCCTGAAGGTGGGTGGCTCGGGAGGCTAGGCACACCCAGCAGGCAGTTCTGGGTGAGTGGGCCTGAGGGGGCAGGGCGATGGCCTCCATGACTGATGACAGCCAGCCCCCCAGGGAAGCCCACCTCTGCCTGGGGTGCTGATCACCTCTTCCCCCTCTGACTCGCCAGAGAGAGACAGAGCGGGAAAGTGAGAGATCACCCCCCGGGGGAATGGCCACGCCTCAGTCCCTTCTCCGTTCTCCTCTTGGGATCTCAGGCACACACACGTGCCCAGCGTGATTTTCAAGCAACTGGGTCCGGGACTCGAGCTGCGGTTAGTCCCATGGGGCCCGCTCCCCTTGAATGTGTTTACTCGTAACGAGGCAACTTCAGGAGGTCTGTAGAAGCCTGCTGGTGCGGTCGGTGGCAGTCCGAACTGCAGTGCTGGACACAGCCAATTGTCACGTGGACCCTTGGGTCGGCCCACCACGAGGCAGCCTCGGCCGCCTGGGCCCAAGACCCTGCCAAGCTAGAGGCCAGGGGAAGGGCATCGCGTGCCACTCTCTGTCTCTTCCATGCACGTACATGTGCTCTCTATCATGAATGAAATAACAAACTTAAAAATCAGTGTTGGGGCCAGCAGGTGGCATGGTGATTAAGACACTGGACGCCCACATGGCTAATCACGGTTCAAGTCCCTGACGTGGCGATTTGCTTTCTCACTTTCTCTCCCTCTCTCTGTCTGGGTCTCTCTGGTGGGCACATGTGCCCTCTTGCAAAATTTAAAAATAATACTAAAATATAAAATTAGGTATGTGATTCTTTTCAAAAACAAAACGAGACAAAGCCATCTGTGGCAATTGGGGCACAGCAGTAAAGCGGCTGGCCTCACCTAGGAAGGCCCGGGGCAGTGCGCGCACCCGCATCCAGGTGGGTGAGGCTGGGCTGCACCCAGGCGTGGGGACCCCGTTGAGGTGTCTTTCTCTCTCTCATGAAATAAATAAATGAACTTAAAAATAAAGTGCTCAGTTCCATTTGTCATGGGGATTAAAGTACAAGTTTGTTTACTTATTTTAAAAGAACTATTTATTTCCATTTGTCATTTTTTTTTTAAATTTGACCCTAGGAGAGCAAGAGAGAGAGAAAGGGGAAATGAGAAGGCAAGCCGTCAGGTCCAGGACTCAAACCGTGGTCAGCCATGTGGGAGTCCAGCGCCTCTGGGTATACCACGCCACCGGCTGACCCCATAAAGTACAAGTTTATTTTGGTGCAAAAATATTTTGAAAGCCATGCATTGATTTTTCATGGTACACATTTGCCTGGAACTTTTTAAACACTTATGTGAAGAGCCCAGCAGCAGAGCCCAGGTAAGGAACCCATGGTTTGTGGTATGTTAGGTGTGTGGGTTTTTTCTGGGTTTTTTGTTTGTTTGTTTGTTTGAGAGGTTTTTGCTATAGGGCGTGTGCGCTCACCAGACAGACAGAGAGAGAGAAATCACCCCCCAATCCCTTCTCCATTCTCCTCCCCTCGGGATCTTGGGCATGCATGCACACACGCCCGGTGTGTTTTAAGCCACCAGGTCCGGGACTCAAACCGCGTTCAACTACACGGGAGTCCAGTGACATAGCCATCACACTAACTGCTGGTCCCATGTATCTTTTTTTTTTTAGAGAGATTTTGTTTTCCTATAGGGCATGTTATAGGGTGCATGTACTCACCAGAGAAACAGAAAGCAAGAAATCCCCCCGGAGGAGGGGATGACCACACCTCAATCCCTTCTCCTTTATTGTTCTCTTGGGATTTTGTGTACACGTGCACACACGCTGGCTTTAAATTCTAAGCCACTAAGTCCAGGACTCGAACCACGGTTGACTCTGTGGGATCCAGCAACGTAACCATTATGCCATCTGCTGGTCCCAGGTGTGTGGTATCTTAAAACTCTCTGTTAAGACCACAGAGCCCCTCAGCAGTGTCCTCACGGAGCAGCCTTATGGGCGCAGCGGCGGTGCCCTGTCCTGTCCCAGGGAGCCTCTGGGCCAGCTCTGGTGGCATCCCTCAGGAGGGTCCCGAGTGCCTGGGGCGAGCTGAGGCTCTGGCAAAGCCATCAGACGCTTGGTCTTGAATACGTGTGAAGGAACGCTGCAGGGTGAGAGGGGAACATGCACCTTACCCTGCACATGTAGGGTCTGGAGGGGAACAGCAGGACCTCCGAAGTCCTGAGGACCTTAGGACTGCGTCTGTGGCTTGCCAGGCAAGGTGCAGGAGGCACGCGCTTGCCAGAGCGAGACAGAGAGAGGAGGCGGGAAAGCATTCCCCACCAGGCATGGTCGCATCGCAGGCCCTCCTCCACTTCTTCCTTCTGAGGTTCCAGGCATGTGCACACACACGCACCCAGCGTGTTTCTCGAGCTTTCAGGTCCAGGCCTAAGAACTTAGGTTCAGGCTGTGTGGGATCTGAACCACCTTGCCACTGGCTGGCCCTGCCTATTTATAGATACATAAACAAGTGGCAAATGCAATGAACAGTATAAGGGGACTTCCAAAAGTTTGTGAGAAAAGTAAAATTAAAGCATGAGTTTACTTTAGTGCGAAAAAACAGTCTAAATCCATGCCTAACTTTTTCATGTGTATTTTCTATGAACTTTTCATGGAAACTTTTTTCTCTTCTAAGTAGCATGTGACAACTTGTTTATTCCTTCAGTGACGTGTTCTTCTAAAAATTGTTTTTATTTTATTTATTATTATTATTGTTATTTCAATTTGCTTTTTAGGGTATGTGTGCGCACCAGAAAGAGAGAGAGTCAGTGAGAAAGCAAGCTGCCAGGTCCGGGACTCGAACCGTGGTCAGCCATTGGGAGTCCAAAGCCTTAACTACCACACCACCTGCTGACCCCTCAATGATATGTTTTATAATAATTAGCATTTTTGCAGACATCATTTGCATATATTTCCCCTTCTATAAATTGTCTTAGGTCATGTAATAGAATTAGATGTATTTCTGCATCTAATTAAGATACATCAAGATAGCCTACCAAAACGCTCACTGCTAGAAAGAAGAATTGCTATGAAAGCGGCAGGTGCCAGGTTGAGAAGGGCCAGTCCATGGCTTGCAGGAGACTTGACTGTGAGCAGTGGGGTGTTGCAGCCTGTTTGGGGGTGAATACCTTGGAAAGTAAGATCTAATTCCGGGTCCACTTTGAACACTAGAATATCCAGAATGTACCTGTGGGACCGCCCACATTCCTCTCTGGGAGACCGCACATGAACAAGTGCAGTCAGAGACTCTGCCTGAGGCCGAGCCATTGTGAGGGACTTAACCCAGATCTGTTTCCACGGCGCACGGGCCAGTCAGCCCTGTCTGACGGGTGGGGACTGCGAGCCCCGTGACTGGTTTCGTTCAGTATCAGGAAGAAGTTAGGCAAGGCTGGTTCTGCAGAAGGTGCCAGCACTCATTCGACGCCCTGTTCTGACATCTGGGCTTGTCCACAGGAGTATCCAACCCTCACAACCTTCTTTGAAGGAGAAATAATCAGCAAAAAGCACCCTTTCTTAACTCGAAAGTGGGACGCAGATGAAGACGTTGATCGGAAACACTGGGTGAGTCGGGCTGGTCGCTCTGGGCGGCCCAGGGTCTGCTGGAGGATGACCCCGGTCTTCCCTCCCAGGGGCCCGCGGGGCTCTGTAGCCAGGGGGAGGGAGGCCGTTCCTCCACCCAGGCCTCAGCTCACCCGCCTTCCCTTCTGTTGGTTTGTTTCTTCTAAGTTCATTTCATCAGAGAGCGAGCGAGACCCAGGGTATGTGCCAGCATCCCTGAGGGTCTTCACGCCGCAGTCCACCCCAGCCTCAGCCGGCCTGGGTCACTGGCACGCATGCACACACCCAGTGTGCTCGGGGCAGTCCTGGCCGGGAACCCAGGAGGAGGAGGCGTGTGGGTCCGGCTGTGCTCCCCTGTGCCTTGGCCCCAGACCTCCCCTACGCAACCGATGGTTACCCGACGACAGACCCGCAGAGTTCCACCAAGGCCAGCTCTGCTGTCAGCAGTTCCTGCCCGTGGTCCATCTCCCGTGCATCCTTCCTCTCCAGTCCCCTCCGCCTGGGGGGACCCTGTGACCCAGCAGTTGTCACTGACTGTAGGGTCGATGGGAGGTGGAGGTGCCCCTCAGGGAACCTGGCCTCGTGCTGGCTTGCCGGTGACACACAGCCACGTCGCTGCTGGTCCCCGCCCCACTAGACTCAGGAGAGGACAGCGCCCAGAGCTCCAGGCTCCCCCTTTACCGTCTGTCCTCCGGTCACAGCCGCTTCAAGATGGTTGTCCCAGCGTCCTCAGTGACAGTCCCAGAAGTCTCCCGTCTTCAAAACTCCCC